TTGTCTCGGGGTCCGGAGCCTTGTTAGCGTTGGCCTTGGCCATGTCCGTGTCGACTGACGATTCCGTGTGGTTCGGGGAGGGGGGTGGGGGTGGGGTTACCGTGTTTTTTCATGCCATTGTGTTCTGATTTTAGAACTGGTTCGGCTCGTAGCTGAACGGGAGGTACACAACACACTACTGTAGCTACAACACACGGATCCCGAACAAGTTCCGATCGGTCCAATCGGCGAATTCCTCATCGCCAGGCGTGCCTGTCCGGATCTACGATGATGCACGATAATCTACGATCGAAACTTTCGTCCTAATTCACGCGCCCCCTCCCTGTCGCGCTGTCTCTGTCTCAGTCTCTGTCTCTCTTTGCCCTCCTCCTCCTCTCTCTCTCTCACTCTCTCTCTCTCTCCCTCCCCACCTTCCCTCCTCTCTCTCTCTGTCCCTCTCTCCCCCTTCACCTGTGAGTGCGAGGTCAACAGCCTCCTCCCAGAGCCCCATCGCCGAGTACAGGTGCACGCAGGCCAGCGACCTCCCGTGCTGAGAGCAGAGCCGCAGGGCGTACATCGGGTCGAAGAATCTCTCCTCCGGCGGCCTGGCGATGAACGCCAGAAGCGCCGACGACCCCGAAGCTGTTGCTCTAGCTGCCCCCGTCCTTGGGGCGGCTTCTACCCCAGCCGGTCGCGAAGAGAGAGAAGAAAAAAAAATGATTGTATGTAGGTGAAAAGAGAAACACTGAAAATTATGTAGAACAATCCTATTTACTGCTTCTACCCCAGCCGGTCGCGAAGAGAAAGAAGACAAAAACATGATGGTATGTAGATGAAAAGAGAAACACTGAAAATAATGTAGAACAAATCCTATTTACTGCTTCTACCCCAGCCGGTCGCGAAGAGAGAGAAGAAAAAAAATGATTGTATGTATATCCTTCTGCTTCTACCCCCGCCGGTCACGAAGAGAGAGAAGAAAAACATATATATCCTTACAAAGAATGTACAAAAATTCCTACAAATAATAAATATTTTGGTGAGTCACAGGCCCCTGCAATCGTTGACTTATCCCCTCGCGAAGCACGACAGACCGTTTCTAAGACAGCAAGAGAGAGAGAGACCAGCCGCCAACGCGAAAACGACGCACGTACCTCCTCCCCCTCCGCCATCGCCGCCTTCTGCTAGCCACGACGGCTGCTGCTGCTGCTGCTGCTTCGTCAACCCCGACCCCGAAACAGACCCCGCCCCCGACAACGCCTGGTACGCATCGTCAACCCCCGACAACGCCTTGTACCCCCTGGTGGAAAGCGACGAAGGGTGTCTGTGGCTTTCTCGCCACTCTTCCTCTTGGGCATAGAGAGCGAGGAGGTGGTTGTGGATGGCGGCATCCTGGGGGCACGCAGCGCGTTGAATTGCATGCAAAACACGTCCAGACAGGTACGTAATTCGTGGTGGTACTGTAAAAATGAGGGGGGGGGGGGGGGCGAGGAAGGGGGCATACCCCACATTTTCTGCAGCAACAACGTCCAAAAAAAAACCCCTCAGTGATTGGTACCCC